CCACCAGCCACTCCTCGGAAGGAAGATGGGGCAATCTACTTCCGTAGTGATACTGCCTCAGAAACCCAAGGAGGGGTCGCTATGAGTTGAGTCCGACTCGACAGCACATAACAACAACAACAACATTGCTACGGAAGTAGATTGCCCAACCTTCCTTCCGAAGAGTGGTGGTGGGTTTGAACTGCCAGCCTTCTGGTTAGCAATCAAATGCCTTAGGCACTATGCTACCAGAGCTCCCATTCTGTCCTATAGAGTCACTAAAGTTGGAATTGACTCAATGGAAATTTTTTTTTTTTAAGGTAAAAGGCAAGGCCACATACAGACACACACACACACACACATGTCCTCAGCTCAGGGCCAACCAAGTGGTTTGGGTTCTGGGGGCTTAAGCCTGGTCACTATGCTCAGGGGCTGGTGGGGCCTGGTTGAGCATAGCTTGGTGGCCTTGCACGGGCCCACTACTCATTCTGTTGGGGCTGGGACTGCAGGATGCAGGATGATGGCATCATGACCAAGGTGGAGTCACCCCAGCATCTGCTCCCCACCCCACCCTTCAGTGATAACACAAAAGTCACTGTGCAGGTCCAGGCTAAAAGAGTGCCACTCCTTGAAGGAGGGGACAGGTCGGAGGCTGGCTGGACTCTTTTCCAGCCAGCCCCTCAGGTACACTGACCCCAGCAAGCAGGTTCTACAGAGAAGCTTCAAGAACCTGGGCCCTGAACTCCTGTGTATGGAACAGACCCATGACTTGGCCCACACTCACAGGGAGGCAGGGGATGTAGGGAAAGAGCCCAGAGTTCAGGCCTCAGCCATCACAGCAGAGTCTCTTCCAGGTTCTGAGACCTTACCTGCCCAAGTGAGTGGACACCCTTGCTCCAGGTGTGCTGAGGGGTGAGGCAGCTATACCAGTACCGAGTCCCTGGCAGCACCCCTAACTTGACTGAGCTCACCTCCTAGCAGATACACTCATCAGTCAACAGGGTGATTTCAGATAGAGAGAAGGGCTTTAAGCAAAGG